TAACATATACATGGTCATTAAAACAAGGACATAGTAAAATAGGACTGTCTAATTAATTAGGGTTTCTATTGTTGCAATGAATGCAAATTGGGGAGGAAAGGGTTTATTTGGCTTACACTTCCACAGCACTGTTTATCATTGAAGACAGTCAGAAAAGGAATGTAAACAGGGCAGAAACCTGGAGGCAGGAGCTGATGCTGAGGCCATATATACTGGCTTGCTCCTCATATATTGTTCAGCCTGCTTTCTTATAGAACCCCAGAACCACCAGCCCAAGCATTACAGCACTACTCATAATGGGATGGGCCCTGTCTCATCAATCACTGATTAAGAAAATGTCGCCCCCCCCCCCCCCCAAAAAAAAAAAAAGAAAAAGAAAATGCCCTACAGCCCCATGCAGAGGCAGGTGGATCTCTGAGTTCAAGGCCAGACTGGTCTACAGAGTAAGTTCCAGGACAGACAGGACTACACAGAGAAACTCTGTCTAGAAAAACAAAAGAAAAGAAAAGAAAAGAAAAGAAAAGAAAAGAAAAGAAAAGAAAAGAAAAGAAAAGAAAAGTGAAAAGAAAAGGCACAACAGCCATATCTTATGGACACATTTTCTCAATTGAGGTCCCCTCCTTTCAGATAACTCTACCTTGTGTCAAGGTGATACAAAACCATGTAGTACAAGGACAAAACAGGAAAGTTTGTGGAGAATGCCAGTATCCCCCAGCCTGAGAATACAATGTTTCTATGCAAATGAGAAAAGGACATGCTCCTGAGAAAGTTCTAGGTTGTGTAGGGAATGGACCTGTGAGCCTGGGCCCACCTCCTCTGGATAAATCAGGAAGGAGACACATCTCTGAAAATCCCTATTAGGTTCCAAAGCTACGATAATGGCTGGTGACCCTGGTTTAATGACCTGTACCTTCCCAGAAGGGCTTATGGTGTGTGGATTCTCACGTTAGACTGAGCAACATTTAAGTAGGGTAGGTTTCACTTCTCTTACCTTTTACTTTAGGAAGTTTTTGCTGTGCTTCCTATGTGTATGGGGACGGGGCATGGACAGATCCAGGCTATCTTGCAGGACTAGGTTCTCTTCTTCTACCATGCTGGTTCTGGGGAGCAAAGTAGGACACCAGGCTTGGGGGAAAGTGCTTTCATCTACTACACTATCTCCCCCCACCTAGTGTTTTTCTTTGTAGCCTTCACTGTCCTGGAGTCCCTGGCTGGCCTCTGCCTTTCTGAGTACTGGGATTACAGGCTTGCATCACTGAACCTAGCAAATGTAATTTACTTTTAATTTTATGTGCATTGGTGTTTTGCCTGCATGAGTCTGTTGGATCCCCTGGAACAGGAGTTATAGACAGTTGTGACCTGCCATGTGGTGCTTAGAATTGAACCTGGGTCCTCTGAAAGAGCAGCCAGTGCTCTTAACCTCTGAGCCATCTCTCCAGCCCCCAACCCCTCTTACCTTTTCTCAAACATCACTTTATCTTTTGCACTCACAATCATTTCCACTTCATGTGACTCATGGCATTTTTTTCATACAGTTTGCAGGGAAAATCACTTTCTTGTTTGTGCAAATGCAAAGGACAACAGTATTATTCAAATGTTCTTTTTTTTACTTATTTATTTGTTTGTGTAAAGGAGGACAGTTTCATTCAAATGGTCTATTTATTTATTTAATCTATGAGCACTCTGTCTTCAGGTATACTTGTATGCTAGAAGAGGCCATCGGATTCCTTTATAGATGCTCGTGAGCCACCGTGTGGTTGCTGGGAATTGAACTCAGGACCTCTGGAAGAGCAGCCAGTGCTCTTAGCTGCTGAGCCATCTCTCCAGCCCCTATTCACACGTTCTTAATGGTGCACTTACATGTGGGGCACTTTTCTGGGAGTGAGGTGCGCTGAGATAAGTCTTTACCTTGCCACTAACACTTCTCTGGGATGGTGTTCCTCTTCAGTCATTCTTTTATGCAGAAGGAGTCCAATGCCTATTCCAACTTTCCAAAGTACAGCTGAGACTAGACTGTAACAGAACCATATTTTACTGAAGGCTTTGGAAAGTAAAACAGAATTACAACACAGTTGGGAAAACTTGAAACTAACAACTAAATGTGAGTTCATTTAAATATAACCATCTGGTCTCACCTTCCGTTAGTCCCCAACATATTACTCTGTTTTAAGGGCAGCCTACTCTCTTAAATAGGAGTGCCCATTGTTATGGACATTGTTAGCCCCCAATTCCAAATTCTCCAAGGCCCAGTGACAGAAGGAGCCTGCCTTCAAACAGTTCAGTCCAGGGTTTTCCTTCTCAAAGAGTATAATACAATCCTATCCCCAGGATGACTTTTTGACATTAAGTACATTCCACTTTGCACTGCCTTGACCTTCCTCACTGGCAGATTACTTCATGACTTTTCCTTTCTGCACGTTCTATTTTGGCTCTTAAAAATGCAAGATATACTGTGGCTTTACACAAATGCGGCAAATTCACTCCTTTTAGAACAAAGTCCTTCGAGTTAAAACACACAGTCATGTTATTAACATCAACATCATAGTCTACAAATAGAAACGTCAATATCCCAGGAAAATCTCTCCTATGCTTTTGTTGTTGAACTCTCTCTGTAATCAAAGTCTGTGGCAAAGTTTGGTCTATTTCAAATTACCCTCTAAGTGGAACTATACAGCTTCTGTATCTACTTTCTTTCACAGAGCATAATGCAGCTGAAAGTTGCCTGCAGTTGATGGTATCAATATGGTGTTCCTTGCTTCTCAGTGATTTTTCCATAAATGTACCATTCATAAAATGTACCATAGTTTATTTATCCAGCAGTAAAGTAACACCTTGATAATTGTAAATAAAGTCACTGTAATATTTCCACACATATCTTTGCATTAACATAAACTTTCATTTGTCTCATATAATTATCCAGCAGCAGGATCACCAAGTTGTATCACAAGAATATACTTGCTTTTTCAAACACAATATGTTTCCCAAAGTGGTTGTGAGAGGTTCAAAAACTTAGAGTTAATTCCTGGGACTGGGGCAAAATCACCAGATCACAGTTGTTTGAGAGCAGGGGTCCAGCAGCAGTCTCCCACCCAGATAAACCTTAGGGTGTGACTGGGGTCATGTAGCCCCTAAGAAAGCCCATGGAATGTACAAACCCCTCCTCCCCCCTTGCTACAGACTAGCTGCACTTAACAGGGAAGTACTGGGGGTCAGGTGTCCCCCAGGTAGCCTGACCATTGGCACCAAAAAACAAACCAATCATTTTAAAGGTCAGCTCCTCTAGAGACCCCCTTACCCAACCCTGTAATGTCTAGACTTGCACTTCCCTGCTTGCGTTTTGTCTCTTTAAAAACCTTGTTCTCCCGGAGTTGGAGGTCACTTGCCCCTTTGTCTTTGTAATGGGCAGCCACCCAGCTCCACTTTGTAATAAAAGACCCTCAAGTGTTTTGCACCGGACTCAAAGCCTGTTGGTCGTTTGGGGACTCGAGATCTGGGTGTTACAGTTGTTCCACTTTGCATTCCCACCAAAATTAACCACACCCAAAGGGTACACAGCTCAATTAAGGCCTATACTGCCAGAGTAGCAACTCTGAAGCTGTGGACTTCATATTGTATTTCACACTTTCACCATCAAAAGTACTCATCTCCCACCGAAAACCCGAAAAACCATGACAGAGCAGAACTAGAAAAGCAATTATCCTTGTTTCCTCTTTTGTAACTTAATAGTCCTTTACCTTCATTCAGTCCTTCCTCATCACCCTTTCATTTACCCTTTCTATATGTCTACTGTGCCTCCGTGTATATTTGTTTACATATATACACATATATTATAGGCCACAATCCACGTGAGGAAGAAAATGTAACTTTTTTTCTTTCTGAGATTATGTGACCTTTCTTAACATAATAACTTCCAAGTCCTTCCATTTTCTGCAGATTTTTAAATTTCATTTTTCTTTAGCGCTGGATAAAATCCATGTTATTTATTTACCAAATTTTCATTATATATTCATTTATTGACAGAAAACTAGGGTGTTTCCATTCTTTTGTTGTAGAGCATATAGAAACAAGGGTGCAAATATCTCTATGATAGGGTATGAAATTCTCTGGGCATATGTCCCAGTGTGAAGCAGCTGGGTTGTATAGTAGTTCTACATTTAATTTATTTTTTGACAAATCGCCAAACTTATTTCCATAATGGCTATACTAGTTTGCACCCTACCAACAGTGAATAAGGGTTCCTCTCTCTCCACCTCTCTAACACCTGTTGTCAGATCTCTTGATGACAGCCATTCTGAGTGAGGTGAGATGGTATCCCAAAGTAGTTTTGGTGTGAAATTTCCTGATGGAGATAGTCAACACTTTTTAAAATACTGATTATTTGTGTCTCTCTTGTTTTAAACAGTCTATTAGGACTTTACTGAGCATGCCTAATTGATATTGTAAATTTCTAATGGAGTACCTAGGATGTAAAATAAGAATCCACTTAGAAATAGGTGTGTAAATATAAAAACACATTTCAAAGAGTTAAAACTGTCTTCAGAAGCAGGACTAAAGGGGACAGTGTTTTTGTTCGGACTTTCTGTACTACAAGTTTCTAAAATTATGCACACATTACTTCAGTAGAAATAAATTAATACCTTTAATGTAAACCAGAGATTTAATCCAGAGATTAAAGTAATCCAGAGATTAAAGTAATCCAGAGATTTAAGGTGTCAAACTTGTTTAGTTACAGCTGATTTCCCCACTAGCTTTTCCTTTCATATTTCATTTTTAATTGGTGTATATTTTTATCTGGTATAGTATGTTTTTCTCTAAAAGACATAATTTATTCTAGAGGAATTTATTAGACTCGTTTACGTTTCAAATTACCATTGAATACTCTTAAATCAGTCATTTCTATGGGTTGTTTCTACACGGGTTATCTCACCAGGTGACTCCAGCCGGCTTCCGTACAGCAGAAGGCGAGCGCGGAGCAGAACATCACTTCCGGGGATGGCCAAGAGCTATGGCCGCTAACGCGGAGCCGAGGCGGCGGCCTGGTGTTGGGGTCGGCGTGGTCGTGGTGAGCTGCGAGCATCCTCGCTGCGTCCTGCTGGGGAAGAGGAAAGGGTCGTTTGGAGCCGGCAGTTTCCAACTTCCTGGGGGCCATTTGGAATTCGGGTGAGTAGGTTGCCCTCGGGAAAGCGGAAGTTACGGAGTAGCACTAGTCCTCACGACAAATGTGTCCCTGTCGCGCGCGTCAGTGCTAAGTTGCGTTCCGATTGCTTTTGGCCCCGGGCTCCTCTGAGATCCCGCCAGGAGGGGTCACTGTGCCGTGACCCTCGCTCCGCCCTCTCCTGGCAGCAGGTGGAAGTGGTTTGTCTTTCTTGGTGCTTACAGGGAAAGTGGATGTTAATAAAAAAACTGGGACTCTTCCCTTTGCCCCATGAGATTTACATACATCGGCGTGTTATGAGACTGACCCTGCCGTTTCTGCGCAGTGGATTTGTCGAACCCACAAAGGGGAAAGAGAGGATAAGTCAGTTTCTACACAAGCGCGAAGGAACCATGGCCTTGTGCTCACAGTGTGTTGTAAACCGAGAGTGTGGCTAAAAACAGATAAACGTATCGGAATCACCAAGATCCAGTGTAGTTTCCGTTAGTAATGTATAGTAACGTAAAACAGTAATATAAAACACTTGGAAGGTGATGGCTAAGCCTTATTATGCCATATCCAGCTTGGACCATACTTGATTTTCTAGACTTTTTAAAAGGAAATCATGTGGGTCACTGTTATCTAACAGATTTATTTATCTTGTTTGTTTATAAGAGATAGGGTCTCTTATGTAGCCCTGGTTAACGTGGAGCTCACAGAGATCTGCCTACCTTAGCTTCCTGAGTGTTAGGAGTATGCCGTGATTGATAACCGGATGTGTCTCTCATTGGCTCTCCATTATATGGCAGGGAAACATTTCTCTAGCAGGCTGAAGGTTATCTTCCTCTTGAAGGTAACCTGAACTTCCTTTGTGGCCTGGAAGCAGAAGCATCACAGGGCTGGCCCACTGTAAGCAAGCCACGTCTTTCTCTGTTGCCTTTCTCTAATTGCCTCAGTTTTGAGGCCTCAACTGGAATTTTCAAGCATTTGAAAGGCATTTAAGGCACTTTTGATATTCGGCAACCCCATGAGAAAGTTTAATGTCTCCCTTTTCTCTGGGGACAGTTGACTTAAAAGCCTGGGTTCTTTTTTTTTGTCTTTGGAGATAGGGTTTCTGGATGTCCAATAATTCCCTCTGTAGTCCAGGCTGGCCTTGAACTCACACAGATCTGCTTGCCTCTGCTTTCCAAGTGCCAGGATCAAAGGTGTTCGCCACCTCCACCCAGAAAAAGCCTTAATTGTTACCTTACACACTAAACTGCCTCCAAGCTGCCTAAGTCTGTCTCCAGGCTTGGGAATCAATGCTGGTTGTTAAATGCTGATTTTTGTCTAATATAAAGCTCTCTGGGTCTTCGAATGACTAGAATATGTATAATATGAAGATGTAGGGCTTTTTAAAACTACTCTAAAGCATAAACTAATTACTGTTGCTTTACTTTATACTACAACTTTCCAGCCGGGCACCTCACCTCACATGAATATTGAGCAGGCTGTGTCTCTCTCTGCAGTGAGACCTGGGAAGAATGCGCGCGGAGGGAAACCTGGGAGGAGGCCGCGCTTCACCTGAAAAATGTGCGCTTCGCCTCCGTGGTCAACTCTTTCGTCGAGAAGGAGAATTACCATTATGTCACCATATTAATGAAAGGGGAGGTGGACACGACTCATGATTCGGAGCCAAGGAATGTGGAACCTGAAAAAAACGAAAGTAAGACAATCACACACAATGTGTGTTTCTTCAGAGAAACCTAGTTGTGGGTATCATTACGGTATGAAGATAATTGCATTCTCTTTCTGTCTGCCCGCCAAAAAAAGTCCTGTGTTGGAGCTAAGCGTGGTGACACATGCCTTTAATCCCAGTGCTTGCAGATCACAGGCAGATAACTGAGTTTGGGCCCAGCCTGGTTTACATAGAATGTTCCAGGCTATCTACATGCAGAGACACAGTCTCAGAAAGAGACAGAAAATAAAAACAAAAATGCCCGTGTTGAAATTCTGATCTCAGGGTGATAGTGACAGGGGATGGGGCCTTTGGGATATGATTGGGTCAGGATGACAAAGCTTAGACCATACTGTTATGACAAAATACCCAACATTAACAGCACAAAGGGAAGAAGATCGCTTTAGCTCTAATTTCCTAGGTTTTACCTGGGCTTTGTTGATTCTAGGCCCTTGGTGAGATGGAATGTCATGGAAGAAGTGTAATAGACATTTCTCACGTCAGCCTCGCAGCAGGACAGAGATAGAGAAGGAAGGACCAGGTGTCAGTGACCCTGCACACAGTCCCCACCTGCTAAAGCTTCCATCACCTCCCAGGATAGCAGCAGCCGCAGCTGGGATCCACTGTGCGATCAAGCCTAACAGCCCACAGTGGATTAGTACTCACCTGACAGAGGCCCCAGGCAGATCCTCACCACTTCCGCTGTATGAGGACACTGAGGGAGCATGGCTGTCCCACGAGCCAGGAAAGGGGCCGTTACCATCCTGTCTTGCCAGCACCTTCGTTTCAGGCTTCCAGCCTGCAGAACCGTGATCTTTGCACTGCAGGCTGCACTGTTATAGCATCGCAGAGACAATGTGGAGAAGTGGAAGGTAGATTCCCAGGGGTGTAAGATACAAAGCACCTGGGTTTTCGTAACGGTTCCTGCACTGTTCTTATAATTGAGGGCACGGTCCAAACTAGACCACTCCATGGGTAGAAGGGAAGGCTTATTTGGAGAAATTGAAAGCTCCTATGGCTATCTAGGGAATGCAGGGAGTGGCATGGACATGAAACACACAACACAGAGTGAATAGCAAAAGACGGGGTTGGCACAGACTCTGAGAGAATAGCGAAGATAAAGCCTTGACAATCTCAAAGAAATAGGCTGGGGCTGGGGGAGTCTCTAAGCTGGGACAGCCTGAAAGTTTAGAGTTGAGGGTGGGGAATGAGAGGGCGGTGTGCTAGCTTGGGGACTTGGTAATGTGGTACAGGTGTGTGGTAGCATCGAACTAGACACCTGAGCTATAGCATCAGATAAGGGAAATAGAGGCTTTTCCTGAGGAAAACCCACATCACAAGTTTCAGAGGAATGCTGATTTTAAGTTTTTATCTACCAGCAATCCTTGTTTGCCTGGTCAGAGTCCAGTGTGTAATGTAGACATCATCAGTGGCCCCATTCTGGGGGTCCCCTTTGGATCTCACAGTTCTCTGTGACCCTGGTCAAGTTACCTCATGGCGGGACGTCTTCTCTCATCTGTGAGAACAGTAGAGACTTCAGATGAGTTCAGGTAGACTGAATGCTTTGATACATGAGACTGTCTCACAACAAAGAGACAAAAAGCAGCCCAGTGTTTCACTGGGCTCTTCCTAAGCTTTTCACTGTAAATGTAGGTTTTCTTGGTACAGCCAAGGTAGTCCAGACATCGCTGCTGGTTTCATTAGCGAAAGGTCACTCGTCAGGTCAGCGAATGTTTTCTGCATATACAACAGGTTAGTTCACCAAGTGAAGCCCCTGCGTTCTGCCATCCGTGTGCACTGATTGGCGCTCTCTCTCTCTCTCTCTCTCTCTCTCTCTCTCTCTCCTAGGTTGGGAGTGGATTCCCTGGGAAGAATTTCCTCCTTTAGACCAGCTTTTCTGGGCTCTCCGTTGTTTAAAAGAACAAGGTTATGATCCGTTTAAAGAGGACCTGAGCCACCTGGAAGGATACAGAGGAAAGCACCTCGAAAATAACAAGAGTCCTTGATTTAGAAAAAAAAAAAAAAAAAAAAGCAACTTTAGTAAATGAAAGATTCTGTGTTTCAGGAGAACTCCATTTTATGTGCAAAGCCAGTCACCAGTTTATTTGCAGTCTCCTACTGTAACTCGGACCCTTAAGAAAGTCTTCCTGGGATGTGCCGCTGGACTGTCCTTGACACCCAGAAGAGGATGGATAAGGAACTTGTGGCTGTACTACCGTGTGGGTGCCATTGTCAGCTGCATGAGGCGTGCAATACAATTTGCCTTATTGTTGTAGTTCAAATGGAGGTTGGAACTCAGATATGGTCACTCGAGTTCAGAAGCAGTGTGTCTACTGAAGAATTCCTCATGCTTGTTGGTTTCCCTTTGCCCTTCCACTTGAACTCTGAAACGACAGTCTGTGTAACTAGAGATCATGACTTCCATCCCTTATTTCTGGCAGAATGTGCTAACTGTGAGACAGACTTCAATGTGGATGCTACCATCAGCGGCCAGGTCGCCTGCATTTCCCTCTTGCTGCCTGAGATCTGTGTCTTTGTATATATACTGGGATTACACAGAGCAGTACAGATTCCCCTAATGTAGGGGATCTCCCAGAGGGCCTCAAGAACTTTCCAGAGCATCATGGCCAAAGGTTGATTGGCTTCATTTTCCCCCCTAGCAAACTTAAAATTTTACTGTGGAGACTGAACAGTGTAATGTCTCACAGAACAGTATGTGCAGGGCTACCCACTGTTTGCGGTGGAAGCTGTGGGGTTGGTTTTAACCTGCTTCTGGTTTAGAGGGGTCTTTGGGTTTGGGAGGATCACTTTCTTGGCATAAGGACCACCTCAGGCCTAGTTAATAACTGACGCTTCTAAGCAGTCCTTTGGCTGACATCATTTCTGTCCCCAGGCAGTCACTGGCCCACTCTGCTGTACAGGCCCTTTCCCAGCTCTTCCTGTGAGGATGTATTTTACTAAATGCAGACAAGCAAGAAAAGCCAGCTTCCTTCTGACAGGTCAGACATTGAAGAGATTTGCCAAAATCTAAAACAATGATGGATTTTTGTTTACAAGAAAACTGTGTTAACATGTATTTGACTTTTATTATGTGGTCAATAAACTTTCCTCATTTTAAAATTCTAGGTTTAAACACCATTTCATAAAAGCTTACAAAAATAAAATCTGTGTTTAAGCTTTTATAAAGGGATCCAAAACCTAAGGGGGTTGGGCATTTAGTGCAATGGTAAAACTACCATTGCTGGGCTGGGTTCAGCACTCAGCTCCAAAAAAAAAAAACAAACAAACAAACAAAAAAAAGGCAACCAAAAGGGTTTCGAATGATTGCACAAGACTATAGCTCATTTTCTTTACAAGCTCACTTCTGTTAATTCTGTCTCAAGTAGCTGACATTTGGATTTTGCTCTTTTAAAGTACTTTATTACTGTGATGTTTGTAAGGAACCTTTCTTGGTTTTTCAAAATTACACATGTACCATATATACCTTACTATTTATAAATCCCACTTTCTCTTATTTATAACTACATATTTGTCAGAATGTTTGTGTTCAAGTATGATAAATGTGTGGTGCTTAAACTCCTGGGACTGGGCAGGTGTTCACTGGTTACAATGCCAGCTGGCCTAAGACTGTGCACCACCAGGCTGGCCTCAAACTCAACACATCTGCCTGCCTCTGCTGCACAGGTACTGGGGCATATACCACCATGCCTGGCACATGTAGATTTTTAGCAAAAATCTATAGCAAAAAATGTTAACTAATACTAACTCTGGGTAGAAGGCCTAGTTTACTTTTATGTGTTACGCTGTTTCTTACATTTTTATAATAATGTTATGTTAGACACAGATGTTAACTGCTTGAAGTTAAAATCAGTTAAAAGTAACTGCTTTTGACGACAGTAAGAGGCCAAGGCAGATGACTGCAAGTTCCAGGCTAGCCTGTACACATTAACTAAGCAGGAAGACTCAGGCCTGTGAAACATGGGGAAAAAGTTAACAGTAAGGAGACAAGGTGATGCCACGAGGTAGTGGCCTTCTATCCCACAACCTTCCATAAAATCCACTCTATGCATATGTGTGCCTATGTGGTATGGGACTGTAATAAATGGTTTCAATTTCTCCGAGACCTGATTGTGACTACTAGTTAAGATATAGTCATTTTATCTTATACATTCTCATATATACCAGAATCGTATTTGAATATTATAAAATGCAACTGAATTTGTTTCTTAAGGGTTGAGGGTTTCAAGACAGTGCTTCTCTGTAATCATGGCTCCCAGAACTCACACTGAAAACCAGGCTGGTCTCAAACTCAGATCTGCTTACCTCTTCTGCCTCCTGCGTGCTGGAGTCAAAGGTGTGCCCCCACTGCCCACCCAAAATGCAACTAGATTTTAAAAAGTTTCCTTCCTACACTGAAGGTGGACCTAAATAAAACATATATGAAAAGAAAAATTGAAAAAATTAAAAAAATACAAACAAAAGCAAGTTTATTTACACAAATTACAGTATTTACCACATAAACATCAGCTGACTCGTTTCAAGTGAGCACTTGCACTCTGAACTATCACACACTTGGAGCTCCATGCCTTTGTTCTGGCAGGGCTGCTCTGTGGCCCTGATAGGGGAGAGCCTACTCTGTGGCTCAGGCTGGCCTGACACTCACAGCCTCCCTGGTGCTGGAACCATAGGAAGGAGCCACCGCGCCTGGCTCAGTGCCGTTTCTAAGTAACTCCATGAGTTGCATGTGACTCTCCTCCAGTTTCAGTACAGAACTGCTGTGTACAAACCCAACACGACAGCAATTCTGAGTAACCCTCAAACATTTGTCTAACGGGTGACAGAAACCCAGGGGGTTGGGCTTTAGGAAGAGAACCCACTATGGTTTTTACTGGGCGGCTCCTTAGGGGCCCGTGGCTGGCATTCCTCTTGACAGAACTGCAGTACTGGAGTCTGCGCGCTGCCTTCTTCAATCAGAGTCACTACTACTGCTTGAAGAATCTGTTGACATAACCTCAACATCATCCTCGTTTTCCTTGTTGTGCCCAGGAGGCTCCAACAGGAAGTCACTACTGTGATTTGGTGGTAGCATGTTCACAGACATGTCATTCGACTGCCATGGGTACTGTGGAGCAAGGACATCTGGAGAAAAGAAGAGAAGCACATGACATCAGTTCTACTTGTAATCTCCTCAGTCCCCCTCCCTTTATGGAAGTAACTTCGTTCTGTCTACCCACCTACCTTGTAGTAGCAAAGATCCAACAAGATGAGGGCTTCACAATGCTAAACACACAAACTACATCCATCTACACTCCAGCCACATTATACTTACATATATACACTACTCATTCATATCGTCACTAGTTTATAACTCAATTTTCCTACTCAAGTTACTGATGTTGTCTTTCAAAAGGATTGTAACTGACAGTTTAGCACAAGTGCAATGAGAAAGACAAGGAATATGTGGGAATTAATAACATAGTTTCCAAATCCACACTTTAGCACAGAAGTGACAGCTAAAAATGGGCTTTAGAAAGCAGTCCCCCATTTGTGTCCTTTCTCCTTAGAAAGGTTCTTTCACATTAAAACACGGTACCTACAAATCGTGCTTGCTCTACTTGGGGAGCATACCTTACAACTGCAAGGCATGTTGTAAGCATGCCTCACAACTTACAAATACCCTGCTCTTCAGGGTAGTCATAAAAAGGGAAGGCCAGTGTCTGGGAGGGTGGCAGGACACACAAACGAGGGACAGAAGGGCTCAGGCTAGTGTCCTATGAGCCACCAAAGGGTGGATGACGCAAGCACAGAACAATAAACTGGCAGGGAACCTGGAACACATGGCTTGGTCTCGGTGTTCGCCGCTAGCCTGTGCCTCCCTGGCACCTCTCCGCACCTCTGAAAGCCCGCAGTCCGCCTGAAAACAGCCTCCAGTTGGCATTACCTGGCAGTCTACCTGCGGCGAGGGCATCCCCGGGGAGATGGCCGTTGACACCGCTGGTGGAAGGATTGCTCATCTGGCCCAGCAAGCCACTTCTCATCTCTAGATCAGTTGGATATGGCCTCCGAGGGTCTCCTAAAACAATAAAGACAGCTTTTAACTCAAGCTTCAGAAAAGCTTTTATGTTCTTTAAAGTACTGGCTTTCCTTGGTTCACACTAAAAAAAAACAAGCTCTTTGTGACATAGGTCTCACTAGGTGGCCCATGCCAGCCTCAAACTTGCAACCCTGCCTCGGCCTCTTCAGTAGTTGTCTTTATATGTATCAATATACCTTGCCTAAAGTTACATTTAAAATTCTCAAGCTGGGCATGCTGGCACACACCCTTAATACCAGCCCTCAGGAGGCAGAGAAAGGCAGAATTCTCTGATTTTAGAGGCCAGCCAGGTCTACAAAGTGAGTTCCAGGACAGTCAAGGCTACACAGAGAAATCGTCTTGAAAAATAAAATTCTGGAAAATGAAAATTTATTATATTACTTGTCAAAAGTATAATACATTTATTTAAAATTTTTATTTTTATTTCATGTTCATTGATATTTTGCCTGCATGGATGTCTGTGAGAGATTATCAGAAATCCTGGAACTAGAGTTACAGACAGGTGTGAGCTGCCATATGGGTACTGGGAATGAAAAACAGGTCCTCTGCAGCCACCAGTGCTCTTAACCACTGCCTCCATTACATTAATTTTCAAAATGCATACATTTTTATTTCTTCTCAGAATCCTCCCAGGAATATACTATTATGCATGTTTTGTAAAAATTAAGAAAAAGTAGCCATTTTAGCAAACATTCCAAATGATGACTTAGGTAAATTATAACAGTCTTAATTTTTCCAACTTAATTCTATTTCCCAGTGAGAAATTTAACAATGATGCATACTCAGAGAGAAGAGATCAGAATACTTACATGTTAGAAAGGACTGGAATGTTTACTAAGATTGTGTAATCGATAACCTTTCACCTGCCAACCTTTCCAAGTCTGACCAGTCCCTAAGCTGGGGGGGGGGGGGGGGGAGGCACGCCACCCATAATTACACCTGTAGCCCAGCACTTGGAAGGTGGAAGCAGGACAGCAAGGAGGCAATTCAGAGGAGGTGGCACTGTTCAAGGTCATCCTCAGATATATAGGAAGATGGAGGCAGTCTTAAGATACAGAAAACACTGTCACAAAGAAACAAGCAACTGAATGGACGAATTCCTATACCTCTCTAGTTTTATCAAGAGAATTTGCTGCCTTCCCATCAAAACCTACACACCCAGATTTGGTAATGTTTCTCACCGACCCCATGAGTTACTTATCCCCACACTGCAGCTGTTATCTGTATTTTCAGCGACAGCAGTCAGAAGTGCCCAGAGCTGAGCCGAAGCTCTCCATCCTCCAAAGAGGCTGCTGCTACAGCTTGCGTATTTGATCTACAATGCTGTGACTGTAGTGTATTGCTCTCTGCTATTTCTAACTCTCCAGCTCTTCCCAGGCCTGTGTATGCTATTGGGTGTTCTGTGGCTGTTGCTAAGCCTGATTCTTTGTAGAAATACAATGGCACTAAAGAACTGGCTTCTAGCCAGCCTGGGTTTCACAAGTATATAAACCTATTGCTTTAGAAGTGTCACAGATGAACCTATACCACCAAAAATAAAATGGAAAAACCATTTGCCATCATTGCTTGGCAAAATCAATGTAACAGAAATGGAGATAAAGAACCCCTCCATGCTCTAGGTAGGCAAGTGGAAAGCTACAGGTATACACAAAGAAACCTGGCAGTAGCTATTAAACATGTCTGAGCAGTGCTTCTGTGAGGCTACCCTAGAGGGAGTGGATTCACAGATGGCATCACTTATGACACTGAAGAAAAATATCTTTATTAGCACATGTTATCTTATTTTTTGTTTTTTTGTTGTTGTTTGTTTTGAGACAAGTTTCTCCATGTAGCAGCCCTGGCTGTCCTAGGCTCACTTTATAGACCAGGCTGGCCTCAAACTCACAGAAATCCACCTGCTTCCACCTGCTGAATGCTGGGATTAAAGATGTGCACCAGCCCATCTGTTTTTTTTTTTTTTTTTTTAAGACCCTACAGCACCTAGTATTCCCAGGTGGTCTCCCATCCAAGGACAAACCAGGCCTGATCCTGCTTAGCTTCTGAGATCAGATGAGATCACATTCAAGGTCGTATGGCTGTACACAGCAGATGTTATTTTAGATAAGGACATCCTACATTTAAATAGTTTTATTTAGACACTCTGTCCTTTGAAACCTGCACTCATCTGATATAAGGAGAAGCTTGTTACCTGGAACCCAGGTTAGTGGTGCACAGACAGCATTGCTTGCACTAATCCTGTGTGCATATTTTATGATTTCTTCAGAGGAAATAGCACCTGAGTTGAGAAAACAGAATAGTTCAGACCATTAAACACAAGTTCAGAAGAGCATACATCCTAGCCACACAGCATACTTAATTTCAAGTATCAGGAAATAGATTACTCTCTTCCCTAATGCCTGCTAATTCATGATAGGTTCATATCATGATTATTCCTAAACTAAAGAACCAAGACAGCCATTCAGCAAAATCAGCTACCACCACTGTGAGGCCAGCATAACACTCAGTAATCTCAATTACTAGTTGCCACCCAAAGCAGAACTCATCTGAAGGCCACAGTGAGCACAGTCAAATGAGGCGAAAGCTCTTCGTTCCAGCAACACCCTGCTGATAAGCCAGCAGGGCACATCCTCTGTGTGAAACCAAGGAAGAGGCCAGAGACGACTGCACCAAACAGTAACAGCAGTCCCCTACCAGGACCGGGAACAGCTTTTCATTCGACACACTCTAGACCTGTTTTGAAAAGCAGTATGGACTTCTAACCAGTCCCAACCCATAGGCTTGGCCACTTTCCTAGAGATTTGCTTCTTGCTACAGAAGCCCACCCATCTCTTAGAGAATTTTAGCTCCTTCCTCACATATATCAATCAGAAAGGAGATTCCAACCTGGCAAGCAGCAAACAAATCAGGTAGTTAAATGTAAACCAAATGCACTAAGTATTAAAGCCAAAACCTTATAACTTCACTCTCTGTATCTGAACTAGAAGAACCAGTGGGCTCACGATACAAGGAGAGGGAGGGCAGGCAGTGTACTGGCTGATGGTCTCCGACTTCATTGCTTCCTTCTCAGTTTAACGGCATGCTCACCATCATTCTTTCTGCCTAGCCTTCAGATCCAGCTTAAACCCTGCTTTTCTTTCTTTCTCTCAACAGTTGTCTCACTATCCATGTAGATAAAAAGCAAATTCCCTTCCATTATTGCTTTTTGTTTTTGTTTTGTTTTTCGAGACAGGGTTTCTCTGTGTAGCCTTGGCTGTCCTGGACTTGCTTTGTAGACTAGGCTAGCCTGAAACTCACAGCGATCCACCTGCCTCTGCCTCCTGAGTGCTGGGATTACAGGCGTGTGCCACTGCTCCTGGCTCTATTATTACTCATAAACTAGAGGGGGGTTGTAAGGGACACCCACCCTCTTCGGGATGCCACCTACAATGCAAGAACACAACATACAATGAGTAACTACTGGGCATCCTTTCCACAGCCTGGTTAGCAGTATTTTAAATCAACTTAATTTTATTTATGTGTGAACAATGTGAGAATGTATGATTGTGTATGTGAAAATGTGTGAGTTTGGACAAATACACAACTTTCTGTGGTTCCTAGGGAATCACACACAAACTTTTACCACTGCAGCATCTCCTCCATCCTTCATCTGCACCTTGAGACACTGACTTGCTTTTCAGGTCAGCCAGCCTTCCCACGGTACCAACCTTTTTTCGCTCTGTCTATTGACTTGAGTTTCTCCTTTGCCTGGTAAACAGCTGTTGCCTAATTTAAACAAAATTTAAAATACAAATTATTCTTAACTATACCAAGCACAGTTTTTAGACTGATTCACAAGGTTACTCACCTACAGAAACAAATTGCAAGACATGGAAATCCTTGAAATTTACCTGTGATCTTCTGAAGCATTACTTAATATCATTTACATCACAATTATATTTAATGGAAGAAATATACTCATGACTCAGTTTCTCACTAATAAGTAGCTGTTAAAAATACATTATGTGAAAGTACAGGGAGAAAATACTGGGGGTGAAAGGTTTAAGTGGGGGTTGGGGTGGGAGGACAGAAGGTGAGGGGATACAATTAAAAAGTATGCATGGAACTCAAAAAGAAATAGTGCAATCCTGTTTAGAAAAACAAAAGCAAAAACAAAAACACAATAAAAGACCAAAATGTGGATTGTGCCATTTTTTGAGCTATGAGACAAAGACAAATTTTATTTATTTTTTCTACTTTTCCCTATTTTTTGGTAAGTAAATATTACTTTCATAAGAGAAAATATTTTTAAGAGCATTTACTTTAAAATCAAAAGAAAACCCCAAAGCATTTACTTGTGAGTGTTCCTTCTTCTGGGGGATCTGTGTTACCCTAAGCCACGCAGGCTCCTTTTCCTGGAGCCCCAGTGTGACACACTTGTAAGCTGTTCTTGAGAGCAAGACTGGCAGCAGCACTGGACCATGAGGGTCTAACTCAATTGCTGCAATGCAACTGCAGGACAGTTATATTAGCAGTTAGCAAATTAACTGGACGCATCAAAGCAAATAAATTATTTCTTCAAAGAGTAGCCAAGCCAGGCAAGGTGGTGCACACCATTAATCCTGGCACCCAGAAGTCAGAGGCAGGTGGAGAGCTTTGAGTTTGAGGCCAGCCTGGTCTACCGTGAGAATTCTAGTCTAGCCAGAGGTACATAGGAAGATCCTGTCTCAACGTGGAGGAAAAAAAAAAAAATTAAAAAGTGGCAAGAAGCTGAAAGAGATGGCTCATCAGTTAGGACCAATTACAGAGGACCCAGCTTCAGTTCCCCACAACCATACCCACAGGGCAGCTCAAAATAATCTGTAAGTCTAGTTCCAGGGACCTGATGCTCTCTTCTGGCCTCTGTGCACTTATAGGGGCAAAACACTCACACACATAAAAATATTTTATTTTAAAAATGTAAATTAAAAAATATTTTAAAAAATAAAGAAAAACAAAACCTAATATAGAGCCCTGATTGATAACAAATTCACCTACCTTAAGATGGAAAAGCAAGTAAATTCATGAAATTTTAAAGAATTTGTGAAACTAGTACATGTTTATTGACACAAAATATTTCATAAACTAGAGATTTTTGATTATTAATATAAACCTTAATCAGGCCATAATTACTATTTCTGTAATTTAAAACATTTAAATAAAATATATAGCTCAAAAGTAACACAGACCATCTGAAGATAAATTGGAGGGTGGATGATAATGGGATTTCATTGAACCATGGAAGGATGTCACTTTGAAACTTGTCTGGGCCTGGTGATTCCCACTTGCAATCTCAGCACTAAGGAAGCTGAGGCAAGAGGACAGCCAGCAAGTTTGAGGTCATAGGTAGCTACAGAGTGAAACCCACTCCTGTCAAATAAAAGAGCTGGGGCCTAGAAAGAGGGCTCAGTGGTTAAGGGCATTTGCTGCTCTTCCAGCAGACCCAGGTTTCACTCCCAGTAATCACACTGTGGCTCACACAACCACCTGAAACTACAGTTCCAGGGGATCTGATGCCCTTTTCTGGCCTCTACAGGCATCAGACACGTGTACGTAAGTATATGCATACATATTAGATATGTATGTATATACACATACATGAGTACATGCAGGCAAAACAGTCATACACATAAAGTAAAATAATATAAAGCAATTAAAAAAAACCAACAAGGTGTTTTTTCCCCTTCAAAATATGACAGCAGACCTTTCAGAAGAGAATGAAATAGCTCCCCTCTCTTCAGGATCAATCATAGTCAACTCACCAGTATTTGCTCTGCTTCTTTTAGCTGTTTCTGCAGTTGCTGAATATCACTGTCTCGCTTCTCTACTTCTTTTTCTAAAGCCTGCATTTCATGATGGACTTTCCCCTGATTAAGCGCTAATTTCATTAGTTCTTGAAAGTCCCCATCTCGGTGAATTAGCAACTCCAAGACCTGTCAAATGACAGTTGATTCCATCAAACAACAGGAAAATAAAGGCTATCGTCACTAATGAGACAAAGAATCCATACCTGATTAGTTAGGTTTATAAATTTTAACACCTGGAAATATTCTTAATCAGCATTAACAATATACCTAGCCCATTTGTGGAAATTTTGAGAAACAGTCTTAATATCAAGAATTTCCATTCATTCTGTTCCTCTTCCATGCAGAACAAATCTTTCAGAAGTAGTGCCATGCCAAGTTTCAGGTTTACTCATCTTCCAAAGATAAAATTTTAAACTTTATTCTTAAGCATACAATGGAATAAAAACTCTTCCAAAATCTAATGCTTTGAAGCAACTTTAGTTGGCACCAAAAACTTTGAGATAGAAGTTTCACTAATATAATAGAAGCTATAACTAGGATACATTTAAAACTGTAATTTCACACAGTATTGCTTAGAGTAGAGAGCCTAGAAAATGAGGTGATTTGAAAAAAAAAAATAGTAAAATAAATGGACGGTATGCAGATATGGCAAAAAGGCCACAAAGATTACTATGTGACAAAAGCCCTGGGATATGGTTTGCAGCCCTTCACTTGCTGGCAGTATGACCAGGAAAGGTCCCTACTCTCTATTTTCTCCTATTTTCTCCTCTCCTAATAGAGGAGCCTATTTTCTCCTCTAGAAAGAACGATTCACTAATGGCACCTATCATATGCCAACTGCTCTGAATATAATATAATGCAGGTTACAACATACAAGAGGAGCTCAGCAGGCCAGGCATGGTGAACACACCTGTAATTCCAGCACAGAAGCAAAGGCAGGAGAAGCAGTAAGTTCAAGGCGAGCCTGGGCTACATAAAAAACCCATTAAGGCAAGCCTGGGCTACATAAAAACCCACATTAAAAAAAATAAAAAATAAAGAAAAGAAAAAAAGGGGCTATAGAGATGGCTCAGAGGTTAAAAGCACTGGCTGTTCTGCCACAGGACCTGGTTTCAATTCCCACATGGCAGGTCCTATCTATAATTCCAGTTCCAGGAATCCGACACCCTCACAGACATACATGCAGGCAGGACACCAATGTACATATAATAAAAAATAAATAAATTATTTTAAAAAAAGAAAAAGAGCTGGGTGGTGTTGCTGGAGGTATATGCCTTTTTAAAAAAATTTAAACCCACTTTTTACTTTTCATAGATCAATAATTAGACATCACTCTTAACATAAAGACAATGCAATCTAAAGGATAAGGAGGGAATTTTTTAACGTTTTATTGATTCTTCTTGAGTTCCACACCATGCACTACAGTCCTGTTCATCTCCCTTCCCCTCACATCTGCCCTTTCCCTTGCAGCATCCCCCACTCCAAACTTAAAACAAAACACACACACACAAACAATAACAAAGACAAAGCACAGAAAGCAACTCATCATGTTAGCTGTATGTCACAGTGTTTCCTACAGTGTATCCCTCTATCCACACATCTTCACTTGTAAATGTTCATTGTAATGGGTCATTGGTCTGGCTCAAGAGCTCTGGCTTCTGTGACTCAATGACTATTGGATCCTCATGGGGACTTCTCCCAGTTATCCTGTTGTTGCCCTGTGTCGTAGAGTTCCTGAAACTTTGGTTCAACAGGACTGGCCCTTTCCCATGTCCTAGCTGTTTGCAGATGATACAGATTTGGGGGTAGGCAAACTCAGAGCCCCCAAATCTGGGCCTGGGTGGTAGCTTAGCTGGTGAGCACACTGGCTCTCTTTTACCTGTACTACCATGGCAAGCTCTCCAGAACTGCTCCAGTTAGGCAACCCAGTGCCACCATCGGCAGGAGGCAAGGTCACCTCTCCTGCTCTCATGCCCCAGGGGTTAGCTCACCAGTCCCCATGCCTCCAGAGCCAGCTCCACTGTGCTGCCAGTCAAGGTACAGGGCCCACTCTCCCAGCCTGCAAGGAACTTCCAGCCAACCTGCTCTAATACCCGCAGAGCAGACTCACCCATGCCTTCTCCATGAGGGCCAGCTCCACTGTGTGGCCCAGGGGAGGTGCAGGGCCCACTCTCCTGAGTACTACAGCCAGTGAGGGGTCAGCTCTCCAACTACTGCAGGTGGCGAGGGGGAGAGGCAGAAGGCATCACCCCAGCACCCTTTCGCCTCACAGCAGACGAGTGGAGAGGCCAGCTCTCCCTTGCTCTTGCCCTTGGGGCTGGCTCACCCGTGTCCCTCAACCAGGACCAGCACTACCATGCTGTCTCAGTGAAGTGTTCTCTCCTGCTCTTCCCTAGGGCTGCGGCCAATGAGGGGCAAGGCCAACTCTCCAGCTCTCATGAACTAGGATGACCAGAGTGAGTTTCAGGATAGCCAAAGATACACAGGGAAAACCTGTCTTGAAACCTACTGCCACCCCCCCCCAAAAAAAAAGAAAGAAAAAGAAGTTTCTTAATCAGAAAAACAAAACAAAATGCATCTAACTACTGCAGAAAGTTAGGAAGAACGGAACAGTACAGATAGCTTCTAAAAACGATATGGTCTTTGATTTCCATTCATTTCAAGTTTCACTGGGATAAATCAGCAACAGACAGATGTCTGCAGTAACAACTTTCCTCTAACATACTGTTTTTGTTTTTTGTTTTTTTTTTTTTTGTCCGTTTTACAGGGCTTTATTGATTAATTCAAAAGTAAAGGTATAAATTCATATCTAGAACTTGAAGAACCTCAACTCACTGAGGTATACATACCTGGGATGTGCCAGTGCTAGGAACTTCCTCAAGCACAGTGCTATATATAAGTGGTGCAGAAAAGTATCAATATGCAGGGGAGAGTGGCCCACACATTTACTCCCAGCACTCAGGAGCCAGAGGCAGGCCAATTCTGTGAGTGTGAGGCCAGCCTGGTCTACAGAGTGAGTTCCAGGTCAGGCAGGGTTACATAGTGTGACAGTGTCTCGGAAACCAGTGCACCCCTCCACCCCCCAAAAAAACTATGCTAGAAAAAGTATCAGTTTAAAGATTTCAAGCAGTATCCTGTTCTCACACAAAATTTAAACCCTCAAACATTAATCTTTTTTTCTTTTCTTTTGAGATAGGGTTTATCTGTGTGTGCTAGCTGTCCTGGAAGTCGATCTGTAGACCAACTTGGCCTTGAAATCAGAGATTTGCTTGCCTCTGCCTCCTTAGTGCTGGGATTAAAAGTGTAAGCCACTACTGTCTGGCATTAATAATCTTTTTAACTAAAAAAATAAACCATTTACCTGGTTTTCCTCTTCCAGCTGTAACAGCTTCTGATTTCTTGAAATTGCCAGCATTTCTATAAGTTCTCTAAAAGACAAAACAACCATCAGGGTATGGTGGTGCTTGCCTGGAAACTCAGTATTGGGAGGACTGTGGCCAGCCTGGGCTACCTACTGAAACCTTAACAACATAGCGAACACAGCTGATTGTTGGGTTCATGGTACACCTAGCATGTTGGACACTCGTGGTGACTGTAAACACATCAGCACTCACCATCTACAGCATATGATCACCCAAGGCTCAGTTGTGAATTACAAGAAAACCGCCTGACTGGACTGTGGGTCTGCAAGCCAAATCCGGTAGAGCTGCCATTTGCGTAAATTATGTTTCCTTGTAAGATAGTACTGATGGCCATGATGGTGACCGTTTTTCCCTTTCAAGGCTCCAACTGATGGATGTGAGGCTATCAAGACAATATGGAGAATGACATCCAATTTAATCTATCTCAGCCCCACACCAGCCGCCCCACCATGTCATGCATGACGGTTTCCAAGCTTTCCCGGATGATGGGCCATCTACCAGCCGCCTAACGAGTTTGATGAGCTCGAAAGCAGCCCATTTCTTCGGGAAGCTTGCCCTGCTACCACCAGAAAAGGAGTCCCATTCGTGGACTACAGGAGGCTGCAGCTCAACCCTTATAAAACTGATCCATGTAAGTGTTACACATCTATCTCCCTGTTGACCCTGGGCTCCTTCGTGTTGGCATCTAGCCTCCTCCCCTTGACTACAGTATCCCAGCACTTGGCACCCCCGGGGACGTGACTTAAATGTCTCTTGAGTGTCCGTGAAGGAGGGGCCTCGGATCTGGCCCTCTTACCGGCTGCTGCAGTTTGGACAGTCTTGGGGTTCCAGGGCATTGTCACTGAGATGTTCCGCTGGTGAGGAAATGCCGCCCAAAGCCCCGGACGGCAGTAGACCCCACGTCCACCACACTCGCGCTCCCCAGTCAGCGCCCACAGCTGACCCTACCCGAGCACGCTCCCAGGGCGCGGTTACCTCGACAAGACCTCCAGATCTTCCAGCGCAGACAGCAACCGCTCTCGCGTACTGCCAAGGCCTGACATCCCCAAGACGCCTCCGAACCGCTCCTTCTCCTTCTCCCCACTTGAAGAAGCCGCCATCGCCCCGCGGATCAACAGGCGCCGCATGCGCAGTGGGAAGTAGCAGCGGAAGAGGCGGAACCGGAACACGGAAGAAAGAGTAACGGAAGCCGCGACGGGGCGGCTCCGCTGGGGCGCCGCCTACCGTCTCGGAGGTGCACTGCAGTTCTAGCGCCATCTGCAGGGCAGAGAAGACCTTGTGGTGCGTTCCAATCTGGCATCCCCAGCTGGACTAAGGATGAGAGACAGTGCCCAGTCTCCTGGGTATTCTGTTTTCTCAGCAACAATAGAAGGCTTCTAAACGAAAGAATTTGCATAATTATTAACTTATTATTTGTCTGTATTACGACAATAATATCCCAGCCATTAACGTTGGTCTCCTAGGAGGTTGTAGCAAATTTACGACAGGGAGGAAAATCCTTTCTCCCCTCCCCACTCCTTTGTTTGGTAGCAAAATACATATACTTGCCCTGTAGACAAAGGCTGGCTTCGAACCGAGAGATCTGCCTGCCTCTGTCTCTCGAGTGCTAGGATTAAAGGGGTGCACCAATGTGGCTGGCTTTAAGTCAGTATTTTAACCATTTGTGTATAGGGTTCACTGGCATTAAATTGCTGTTAAATAAACCAGGTGGTGATGACACATGCCTTAATTTCAGCCCTTCGGGAGGCAGAAGGAAGTCGGGGCAGGGGGATCTCTGAATTTGAGGTCAGCCTCGGCACGGAGCGAGTTCCAGGCCAGCCAGGGTTACACAGAGAAATTCTGTGTCAGAACAAAACAAAATAAACTGTTGTTAAATAACATCAATCTCCAAAGCTCTTCATCTTGTAAAATGTAAAATTTATACTCACGAAAGACCGACTTTCTGAGTTCCTGGAAACTATGCTGTGCTTTCTGTTTCTGACCATTCCACATGTTTTGTATGAGTGGAGTCACATAGACTGTTCTGGTGTGAGGTTTTTTGTTTGTTTGTTTTGTTTTGTTTTGTTTTCTTCCTTCTCTCCTTCCTTCCCTCCCTTCTTCCTTCCCTCCCTCCCTCCTGCCCTCCCATCTTTCTTTCTTTCTTTCTTTCTTTCTTTCTTTCTTTCTTTCTTTCTTTCTTTCTTTCTTTCCAGACAGAATATTTCTATAGAAACTAGTCCTAAACTAGGAAGGAATTAATCTTCTCCTCTCATCCTACTGAATGCTGAGCCACTACACAAGGCCGATGTCATTTAGCACAATGCCATCAGGGTTCATCCACACTCAAATGGGTGCCAGAACACCCTTCCCTGGAAGCCTGAACAACGTTCCCCTTACGTGAACACCACACCCATCGTCTGATGGGCATTTGGTTGGGTTACTCTCTCTTGGTTTCTAGAACTCATCTTTAGACTTGTGTATCTTCTAACAAAAATGCTTTGCTCATTATTCAAGGTGACTGTCGAACTGAATCAATCAATAGAGCGTGTAAACCGTATTTCAAGAAAATAGTGTAAATAATTGACAAGGTACATTTTCCAAGGCAGGACTGGGTGTCAACATTGAAAATGATTTCTGGAGAAATCAACACAGTGGGGAACTTTCCCTACCAGGAAAACCCAAAGTTCCTGTTATTGGCAGTGGGAATGCTGTGCTAAGTCATGTTTGCTATTATCAAAAATGAGGTAAAGACACTACTCACAACCAGGCACTGGAGTGAGGCAGCAGTCACGACTGTGCTCTCTTCATTTCAGGTCTAGTCCTGTTCACTGTCCTGTGGAGTCCGACCCTGCCTGGGCATCCAGAACTGACAATTCCCTAAGAGACTCAGGTTTATAAACCCACTCATAACCACAGCTGTGTAATTCAGAAGGTCAATTTATTCAGTTAACAATGAAAAATGATGGCGCTGAGCACATTTTCCCATAAACAAACCTACAGGAAAGTCCATTATCGCATTAGTTGTCTGGTGAACTTGAATTCAAACAAATGAGAACAAGCTACCCACTTAATGATGCAGCCACGAGGCAGTGCAGCTCCAGAGTTGTGGGGAGATCTACATCACAGATCAGAATGTTTGTGTTCGTGTGGCAGGGTACCTTCTTCCCGTACAGGGCAAGAGACTTATGAACTCTTTTTGGTTTCTGCCCATCCTGCATCTCTATGAGCCCTTCCTGGGAATGGGTCATTCATCGGTCATGATAATAAATTATGTTTATAAACATGAAAGAATGCACCCAACAAAAACATACAAAAAAAAAAAAAGTCACTACCATCGCCCTAAGAGCCACACATTCTGTTGTGTGCTGTTCCGCAGAGGCAGTTGCTTTCAATGTTTTTAAATGTGACTTTCAACATTTGCTCTCAGTTTTTAGATAATACAAATATACACATATGTCTTTATTATCTAGAAAGCTCCGCAGGAATTTTTAATGAGAAAACATTCAAAAGACCAGACACATAGTCCTGCTCTATGAAAACTTTTCTCAGTTATACATTAGTAATTTTTTTTTTTTTGAGACAAGACCTCAACTACATGGCTCTGGCTGCCCTAGAATTCTCTTTGTAGATCAGGCTGACCTATATCCCTCAGCCTGGTATTAAAAGTGTGCCCCACTTGGTTATATGCTTGGTTATATTACGAATGTCTTACTGTGCGTAAAAAGCGTGAAAGTTTGAAGATGGGCCCTTTAAAGTAGTGATTAAGTTAATTGAGGGTTATTAGGGTGGGGCCCTATCCAATCTGACTGGTACCCCAGGGAGAGTAAGAGATGTGCCAGAGATATGAGAAGAGGCCCGGTGAGGACACCGGACAGCGGCTCTCTGGAAGCCTAAGAGGAAAACAGCAAGCCAGGTCTGCCCGCTCGAGGCCTGCTGGTCTCAGACTCTGTGGGAGCAGCCCCAGTAGGCTTACATGGGAGGGGGGGCTTGTGGGTCAGTAAGGATCTGCACGCAGAGCTTAAGGAACTGCATTGCCTCACAAATGCATGTGACCTTCTTCTCTCTACTCGTCCTTCCTTGGTCCTGCTCACTGCAGACAGGTCCTTCTCAACATTAGGCAAGTACTCTAGCATTGAGCTACCTTCCCAGGCCTCTTCTCCATCTTGATACGAGTTGCTGTCCTGTCAGGACCTCAGGCTAGGCTAAGTGCACCTTAGCCACACATCTTTTCCAACACAGATGAAGGCCGATGGAGAAAAACATACAAGCCTCTTGGTTCTTCTCACAATTCCTGACTCCAAACCCCGAATTTCCAATGACCCCACCGAAGTCTGCGTAGTCACACCATGCCCATGCCCTCGATCCTCCCCACATCCTTGACATCACCTCACAGTCCTGCCTGTCTCCAAGCGCCAGCGTTTTCTTTGCCCTCCCTTCCCAGTTAAGGATCTGGCTTCAGTCCCTGCACTAAGAAAGGAGGCAAAACCGGAAGAAAGGGCTTCCATAATCTGTCTCCATCGTGTGCGACCACCCACCTGCCCACCCACACCACACCACAGACTGTCTGCCTAGCACAGGAGCACCCTGGCAAGGGTGTGAAGAGCTGAAGCTCTGAGGTGAGCAGGAGCCCTTGTGAATGAATTCATGCTGTTATTTCCAGAGTGAGTTAGTTATTGGGGAATACCCCTTTTCTCTCCGGCAGGGGAGCCCTTAGGCCCCTTTGTCGTGAGATAATGCAGCAGAAAAGCCCTCACCAGACTCAAGCCCTTGATCCCAGACTTTTCTGTCTCAAAAACCATGAGACAAACAAACAAACAAACAAACAAACAAAAAACTTTCAGGACTTGGTTCTCGCCTTCCACCAGGCTCATCTTCAGGCTTGGTAACAAACTCCTTTCTCAGCCAACCAAATTTCTGTTCCTTATACGTTACACAGTACAGGATGTTCTGTTATAGGAACAGAACACGGATCAAGATACACTACAGTTCCCCAGCCTGGCCTCTAGCATGTTCATATACCAGTGTTGTACTCAGAAATTCTGCAGTTTTTTTTTTTTTTTCTTTTTACTCCACTGTGTGTGACACTGCACAATGATGTAGTGAGTCACTGGGCACTAAAAAATACTGGATTTACTACTGATAGGGAGGCTGAAATCACCAAAGACCTGATACAAAGAGGAAATAAAGACACAAAAAACAAATAATCATTTATAGCTTGCCTGTGAGTAAGAAAGAAAACAAGAAAAAGCCTATTTTCAATATTTGCCTTCACACGTTCCTTGACCTACTTTAAAGCAGACTCCAAAACATGAAAGATCCTTAACTTAAGGTGGAATGACTTGCAGTTTTGGTGCAGGGGACTTCGTGGAAACTTGCAGCCATTAGTCCATCTGCTTCTGCTCTGGAAAGCTCTTTTCCCCAGCTGTTTCCCAAATCAAGTTTACAGGCTCCTGCTCAAGATCAAGGGTGAGGAGGAGAAGCAGAACTAGACAGTTCTCTCTCGGTAGCTAGGTCGTGAGGGAGGGAAGCCAGGCCCGCTGCATTCATTACCTCCATTCCCCAAGAAGCAAAACAGCTCCGCCACTCTCCTTGAAGGCATGGGCCCCGGAGCTTCTACTCTGAGGTAAAAATAACATCTACCTATCATCAAGCTTCAGTGTGTGGTTACCTGGGGATGGCCCCCAAAAGGTCAAGCTTTGCTGTTACTGATTACCACGTATGGTTTGTGGACCTCTGTATCTCTCAACTAGGGGCTATGTGTGGTGATATATGCTTGTCATGGCAAGACTTGGGAGGCTGACACAGTAAAAACCACAAGTTCAGGGCCAGCCTGGGCTACACAGCAAGATCGCTCAACAAACAACAGAAGCAACTGGGTCAGAGGTTAGAAAAAAAAAAAATCAAACAAACACCATGTTGAAAATCCATCATAAAGCCTCAAAATGTGTTCTTTGAATTGTTTTCCACAAACCAAGTTACCAAGTTAAACCAAACCAAGACTTTCTGTGCATTAAGAAGATTCACAATCTGTATGAGCTACGCTGTAATACTTTTCTCAGAAGAAACCTGTCTCATCATTTCAACATCACACAACAGGGCAGGTGGGATGGCTCAGCAGCTAAAGACGTTTGTTGCCAAC